GCCCCCGCGGCCCCCGCCGTCGGGCCGTCACCTCCAGTCTCTCACGGTGTCGTCGTCCTCCGTGAGGGCCCCGAGTTTGGTTTCGTTAGCTCTCAACACCGCAGATTCTCGTCACCCAGATTAGCCTTGGAAAATTGTCCTGCCGTTATTTTTAAACATAAATGCAATTTATTTAAAAACATATTGATTAGAAAAACAAATTTCTATGACTCTTGGGGGATTCATATTTAATCCAAATCCTTGATGATGTTACAAATTCCTTGAAAGCGTGGCCCAAGTGTCTCCGGCTTTTCCATCTCCCCTGTGTGCTCGGGGAGCTGAAAGGAGGTCACTGTGCTTCAGCTCCACCAGACGCCCTGAGCACAGGACGTGGGTGCTGTGGCCGGGGTCGGGGCCCAGGGCAGGGTGGACCACATGGCGGTGACCTGTCAAAGGCCACTTTCTAAGTTCAGAGGGCCCTGGGTGTGAGGAGTAACCGATGGACACGAGGTGTGCGGGTCCGGATGCTACGTGTCTAAACACCGGGGCCGTCAGGGAGGCCCGTCCTCACCCCAGGGAGCGGGGCAGCAGGGCAGGAGTGCCCTGGCCCTGGCTTCCGGCCCGCAGGCCCGGCCATCACCACTGTCAGTGTCTGCGTGAACGGACTTGACACGCAGGACAGTCCCCTGGGAGCCAGTTTTGAACCTGGTGATGCCGACAGTGTCAGAAGAGGGCCTTGAAGTAACAGAAGGGGTGGTCACCCCTTCTGCAGCTTGTGTGGGCCCGTGTCGGCGGGGAGGCAGGGCGGGCCGGGGCTCCGGGGGTGAGGGGCGGTGTGCAGATTCTGAGCCTCTTGGCGCTTGGCCTGAGGCTCCAGAGAGGCGCCAGCCCATCCCAGGGCCCCACTGACCTGTGCTGTGTGGGAAGATGGGCTTGTTGCATGACTTGAAGTAGTTAATCTTGAAAAGATAAACTGAAAGATTAACTGCTCCCCACTTTCAAATTGACCGAAGGGGCTTTAGAAGCAGCTTTAGATTAGCTTTTCAATCAGAAACACAGAAGAACATCGCTGTTGGGGTGGTGAGGCTGTTTCCCGGGGGGCATCTCATCACAGTCAGGCTGCTTAATTTTTTTTTAAGATTTGTTTGTTTATGCATACAAGAGCTGGGGTGCAGGCCAGAGATGCGGGGGCAGTGAGAAGCTTCACCAGAGACAGAGCGGGGAGCAGAACAGGCAGACAGACGAATTGTACGGCTGAGGGGGCAGGGGGAGGTCGGGAGAGGGCTGCCGCGCCCTGTGGGGACTCTCTGGCCGCGAGCAAACTCCAGCTCAGGGGCTGCGGTCAGCTTGCAGTGCTGCGCTGTACCCCTGCGCCCCAGGGGTCCCCAGGCCGGTGAGCCTTACCCAGCCGGGCCCTTCCCTGCAGACGGTGGCCGGCCGCGGCCGGTCTCCCTGCCAGCTTGGCCCCGCGACCGCCTGTCCCGTGAGTGCCGGTGACCTTTCCGAAGTGGCACTTCTCGCTCTCAGAGAGACGCCCGCCCCCGTCCCTCGGGAGCTTCATGCCGCCAGCGCGGCTCACGCCCTGGGCAGACACTCAGCGCACAGCCCGCGCCGTTCTGGCTCCTCGGCCGCTGCAGCTGCGGTGTGGCCGGCGTGCGTCGCCCTTCTGTCGCATCAGCGGCCACGGGGCGGCGTGTCTGTCTCGTCATTTGCCACCGGCGCGCCCCTGGTAGACAACAGGCCTCCCGTGGGGGCCGCGTGGGGAGGGCCCAGAGGACTGCAGGTGCCGGCCGGCGCCCCGAGCCCCCGGGGTGTGGAGCCCGCGGCCAGGACGAGACAGACAAGCGTTGCGCTCTGCCTCGCTGCCGCTGGGCTCAGAGAAGGACAGGCCGGCGCCCAGGGCCCTTGTGGTCACGGCCGCCGACCCCTGGAGCCCCCGACCTGGCTTCCTCCTCCCTCCCGGCGTTTCAGCCGGGGGCTCTGCGGCCCCCAGGACCTCCGCCGATGGGCGGCTCGCCGGCCTGCCCGGGGTCGGCCGCGGCACCGCGCCCAGGTGTCAGCGTGGTCAGCGTGGCCAGCATGGACGTGCGCCGTGGGTCACGGGCCGGCGCGAGCCGGCCGCGGCCACCAGGGGGTTTGCTCGGCGCCTGGCGACACCGGGGCCTGGGCGGGCTGGACCGGACGTTCGCGAGCTCCCGCGGGGCGTGCGTGGGGGCCCTGGGGGTGCCGGCCGGGGCAGCTCCCGCCTGCCCTCGGCCCTTCTCGCTCCCGGGACTCTCCGCCGCGGTTTCCCTCGGCTCCGCGTGCTCTCGCCCTGCGTCGTCGCTTCCCCGTCTCCCTCTGCCGCTGCTGCGCTCACAGTGTTTGCTGCTCTCTCATTTCTTTTTGACCTGCGAGTCCTAAAGTGCCAGGAAAAGGGGGTGTCTGGGGGCAGAACAGCCGACTTTAGCCGACTTTAGTCCGGAGAAATGTCCAAGCGCGCCGTGAGGTGTGGGAGCAGCGGGGCCGGCGGGGGAGGCCGGAGGGAACCCGGAGGCCGCGCGTGGTGACCTGGGGGTGGGCCGGCGAGGCGGGGCGCTCCGGCCGCCTCTCGTGGCCTGCTGCGTGAGGGAACAGGGCCGTGACCTATCCCGGAAACACCTGCACTTTTGGGCAGCTCATCTCAGACCCAGCGGCGGTCTGTCCTGTCGTTAACAGGGCCGGTGGGAAAGTCAGCACGACGTGTCGCGGACGGCTGCGGCCAGAGGCCCCGCTGCGGCCGACGCGCCCCCGCCCAGGCCGCCCAGTGGCCAGGCCCCCCGTCCAGGTAAGGCCTCTCCTGCCAGGCGCCGTCCTGGAATTCGAGCTTCCTTCTGCAGGAGTGTGACTGGGGTCTCCTGCCAGGCCTCAGCCGGCCACCTCCCCGCTGCGGCCTCTGACCCGGAGCGCTGACTTGTTCGCTCCCGGGGGCGTCCGCGGCCTGGCGCCGTGCCCAGTGCCGGCCGAGGGCCGTGCGCTCCTGTCCAGGACCGAGGTCCTGCTGGAGAAAGCCTGGTCGGCCACGCTGGGGCCGCGCCGGCCCCGCCAGACGCCTGGGGGCGCTTCCTGCTCGTCTTTCTCCCGAAAGGTTTCTGACCTTCGTGTGCCCGCTCCCCAGACGGCCGCAGAACCCCGCGCCGCTTTCTGGGCCTAGAGCTTCTGTGGGGAGACGCTTGCTGACGACGTCCTTTCCTCGTCTAGGGCGTCTCTTGGCCTCCGGTCGGTTTCCGCGGCCAGGCCCCTCAGGGACGCTGCCCCCTCTGCGCTGCGTGTGGCTCCTGCCACGTCCCCCCGGCCTGTCATCCTTCCCGGCTCCGTCGGGGCGCCTGACGCCCTTGTTTCCTTACTCTCACAGAACGGCCTTTGGCTTTTAAAAGATTTTTTGTTTCACCGCTTTGCCTCCTTCCTCTTTTCCTCGGAACCTTGCCGACAGGAGTGGACCCCACAGGCGCCTCCCCGAGCCCCGTGAAATCCTTGATGCCGCAGTTACAGATGCCGAAGCTCCTCAAGTCCCTCCTGCCCCTCCGTGAGGACAAGAAGGGCAAACAGCCGTCGCCCCTGGCACACCAGGTAGGAGCAGCGGAACCTTTTCTACAAGATCCCGGAGAGTGGCATTAGCCAGGGCGGGGGTGGGGTGGGGGGGAGGCTTCAGAACCCCGCTTCGGCCCAGGGGAAGCTCGTGATGGCTTCTCTCCACGCTCGTCAGAGATAACGGAGCGGCTTAAACTTACTGACACCCTCAGCCCTTTGCTTTTAAAAACTGCCAAGTGATTCATGGTGATGTCACTTAGGGCAACAATAGTAAGATTTATGAAGGGCTCTTAGTGCTGCTTGTGCGTCGCCAAACAGCAAATGTAATTCTATTTTTAATTCTTGATTTCACTTCTTACTTCCGACGGTTAGGTAGCATCCCCGTCCTCCCTCCCAACCCTTTTCCTCTGCTGTGGTTTGCCTGCCCTTTCACCTCGAGCATGAAGCGCGACCCCGTCTTATTCCCCGTGTTTCTTAAAACCTGTAGCCAGCCTTAGAATCAGTTTTCGAGAAATGTTGACAGCTTTCCCGGACAATCAGGAAAACGTCTTCTGTGCGGGTGAAGGGGGCTTTCTGGGGGTGCGACTGCGGCAGGAAATGAGGGTTCATGTACGCTCGTTCAAAACACGGAGAGCCAAGTTCAGTGCTTGAGCTCCATCCCCGACGCCCAGGGCAGCAGAGCACACGCGTCCGGCCTGAGGCCGCGGCTGTCTGGGACCTCTGGGCGGTGACGGAGGCGTGTTCCAGGCTGGCAGGACTCGGCTTCTCGGCAGCCTGCAGGCAGCTTCCTCTCGGCGTTTCGCACCCACTTGAGCATGCGCGTACCGGGGGGCAAGAAAGGAAACTCTGAGATTCTGGAAATGTGCAGACTGCCTTTAACTAGACACAGAACAGGGGCTTGCCTACTATGAAGATGAACCTGACTGCGAGCGGAGTCGGCAGGGGTCGGGGTCAGCAGAGGAGTCCCCCGGCTGTGTCACTGCCTCTTCCTTCTGAACCCCAGTGTTGCGTGGCCCAGTGTGATTCGCGATTGCTTGGGTTAGAATTTCCATGGGGCTTTTCAAAACAGCTAGCAAGCAGCCTGGCCTCAGCACCTGTCGCCTGCACCTGGGGACATCTCAGGTGAAGCCTTTCACACTGAGCCGGATGCCCCAGGTGTTCTGGCTGCTTATGCAACAGAGACAGCCGTTTAAGCTGAAGGCAGTTGGAACAGTGTGGCCGACAGTGAATCATCCCAGATTTAGTTGTCGGAAACGACTTTGAGTTTGATGTGGAAGCGCCTGGTGAGGGGCCTGTGGACAGGTGCCCTCTGGCTCCCGGGGGCAGGCTGCAGAGGCTGCTGTGTGTGTGTGTGTTGGGGGGCGGGGGGCCGGGTCGAGCTGTCCAGGTGAGAGCAGCAGCTTGACACACGGGGACGGCAGCTTCAGCGACATTTGTTCATCACGTATTGGCTTCTTTTTCGAACAAAGGTGGGGAAGCGGTCCCAGACAAGTCCGAGGTCACAAATAAGTGCAAATAGGAGCATAGAGTCGGCTTTACGGAGCGTCGCCCCGTGGGGAGCTGCAGCCCCAGCTCACCGCCCCCGACTCCACGCAGGCCCCAGCCCACCGCCCCCGACCCCACGCAGGCCCCAGCCCACCGCCCCCGACTCCACGCAGGCCCCAGCCTCCAGCGCGGCAGGAGCAACTCGGGCCCCCGGCCAGCTCCGCTTCCACTGCTCAGTCCTTCTCAGCTGTCTTCGGGGCGAGCTGTCCCCTCTGCCCTTTGACCCCTAGTGTGAGGCGTGGGGTGTCGCCGGTCTCCTGGCTGTGCTTACTCGCCCCCGAGCCAGACATCGCCCCAGCCTGGCCCCGGAGCGCCAGCTGCCTGCTCTCCCCTCACCCTGCATCATGTCGCACGCCCCAGACACGGCTGTCGCTTCGGCTCAGGCGGCTTATTCCCTGCAGGCCCGTGGCACTGCGCCCGCTACCTGCAGAAAGCCCCTGGGCCTCGAGGGGGTGGTCTCGAGGCGGGCAGCCACGAGGGGGCAGTCTTGAGGGGCGGCCTCTTACCCAGTGGTTTCCGCTGCCTGCTGTTGGCAGGTCCCGGGGCGCCCGGAGTGGCTCGTTGGCACAGGAAGCTCGCCGGGTGCCCGTAGCCCCTGGAGCCCAGCCTCCTGCCTCAAAGTGGAGGTTCCCGTCTTGGTGGTCAGCCCTGACCCTTCTTCGCGGGCCCTCCAGTTCCTCCAGCACAGAGGAACAGTTTCCTCTGCTGCTCCTCCACGTTTGGGGGGGCGGAGCCTCAGAAAGACCCGCCACGTGTGGGTAGAGCCCCACTTGCCGCACACCCCGGCCCCAGCGGGCCCCAGCGCGTCCCCTCCAGAGATCGTGACGGCTGCGTCAGGTCCCCTACGGCAATGAGGGACATTTACCCAAGGCCGCCCCCCGTCGGCAGACCGAGAAAGCCAAAAAGGGCTCATGTGAAGAACATTCCAGGCCACGTGGCTCGCTGCTGGCCTGGCAGGTGCTCAGAGAAGGCCGCCCCTGCTGGCCAGGTTTTATTTGCTGCTCGCGCCTGCGAGAGCCTTCATTTCCGTAGCACTAATCGTTAAATAATAAGCGGTACCCGACCAAGAAGTGGCAGCTGTCAGAACATCAAAGCAGAGCCCAGAACAATAGGAACCAGCGCAGAAGCCTAAGAGGGAGCCGGATGGCGTCCGCAGTGCAGAGGGACGAGGGGTGTTAGTGCCGCACGGGGCCCGGAGGCGAGGTGGGCCGCGGCCCTGCCCAGCGCACCCCGTGGTCACGGGGTCACCAGCAGCCAGGCTGGGTAGCGCCTCCTGCTTCTGCCCACCCCAACTCTGTGCCTTCATTGTTTTTTAAAGACTTATTGGTTTATGCACACAGACTGGGGTCCAGGCCAGAGGTGCGGGGGCGGCGAGAGGCTTCCCCAGAGGCAGAGCGGGGAGCAGGACAGGCAGATGGACGAAGTCCGCTGCCGAGGGGGCAGCGGGGAGACGGGAGAGGAGAGGCCTGCCGCGCCACGTGGGTCAGCTCCCGGGAGGGGCTCGGCTGTGGCCGCTTGCAGTGCTGCGCCCCGGGGAGGGCCTGCGCCTTCAGTTTTAAAGCCATTTCGCACCTACCTGTGATGAAAGATACTAGAACTTTCTCCTTTTTGTTTTTGTCCAGTTCAGTCTGGAGGCTGGAAACTCCTTGGCAGGAGCAGTCATGGGGACACCTGCACTAACCCTGCTCTCTGCCCCTCCCGGGGAAGCTCCCCGCCCCCTGCACTCTGCCCAGCTGTGACGTTGCCCTGCTGGAGCGCGACTGCTGTGCGTGCTTCTGGGGGGGCGCTGCCGGAAACCCACCGACCACCTGGAATTACTTAGGGAGCACCCCGCGGCACCCCGCGGCGGGTGTGGGGCAGTCCCCCTGAGGCCCTGGGGAGGAAACCCAGTGCGGACTGGAGGAGGGAGGGCTCCCTAGAACAAACACCCGGGGGCCTGGGGTTCTCTTTTTTAAAGACAGGAAGATTTTGAGGCTGTAAAAATGACCCCAGTGAGAACAAAGCACAGAACGGTCTGGTTTCTACCAGTCATTGCTCAGATCTTCTTTGTTAGATGAGATGGCAGGGAGGCAAAGTTGCGTCATGAGGGGACAATTATTATTAAAAAAACTTTTAATCAGAGTGTCCTTGACATTTGCCAACGAGAATGTTCAATTCCCTCGAAACCACGCGGAACGCTAATGAAGAGACGAACGTCCGTGAGCTGTACGTCGGACGCAGCGGCCCTTGCGCCGTCGTGTTGGGGCGTCCGTGTGAGCCTTTGGGGAGCTTTCCTGCACCCGCAGTCAGAGCCACAGATTCCTCCATTTCACAAGCCTCCCGGTCTGCACGAAGTCATCAAGACGCAGGTTCCTCATTTTTATGGAGATTTGTTTTGTTTGTAATCCGTTTCTGTCTGCGTTCCAGAAGTGCGAAGATGCTCCCCTGAAAGAGGTGGCAGCTGACACAATTGCTGGCTTTGACCTTCTGATGCGAGTTTAGTAACTCATCTCGAAAATAATGAACTGCAATTAATGAAATCTGCACTCATATTCAAGTGTGTTTCTCAGACAGCACGTAAAATAATTGAAGGAACTTCCTGCTCTCTAATTAGCTAGATTGAATTAATTCGGCATAATAGCTTTTTCTTGTATGTAGAAGTCTGTTCAGAGGAAGCTGCTCGAGCACTTCCACCTTGGGGCTGCAAAGGGGAGTTCGGAGCGGGGGTGACCCCACCTCGGAGCCGCAGCTCCTAGCCCCGAGGGCGCCCCGGGAGGCTGCTGTCCGCCCCCCTCGCCCCCCCACCCCCCGCCCTGCATGCCAGTGACTGTGCCAGCTGCTAGTCAGGAAGGACAGCCAGTGGGGGCTGCCAAGCGCCCCCATGGGCTCCCTGCGCGCATCGAGCTGGAGGCCGGCTCCTGCTGTCTTGGTGAAGAGCCTTAGCCAGGCTCACGAAAAGCCCGAGTCCTTGCCGGCCTTCAGTTTTTCTGAAGCATTCAGGCTCTTCAAGAAATAGGGTCTTTCCCCCTGTTGCTTAGGGCCGCCCCGGTGAGCATCCGATCGCCCCGGCGCAGGGGCCTCTGGAGACTTCAGCAGTGCATGGCGGGTCTCTGCGCGCAGACCTCAGGACCGCTTGTGCCTGCCTGGGAGTCTGTGTCTCCGTTTTCCAGAATCCTCACATTCCGTCATCACCTGAGGTGCAGACAGCACAGTGACACGCTCAGAGATACAGGTTGCCTTTGGAGTCAGGCTTAGAGGCTGCCGTGGGACATAATTCAGGTTGTTCACGAGGCAGGACGGTGTCGACGGCAGAGGGCTCGGCTCTCCAGATGTTTCCAGAAACTGGCACTGTGAACAGGTTCTTTACACCAGGTGGGCAACTCTGGTAAAGGGCAGTGACCCACTCTGCAGGACAAGCCCGCGATTCCAGGCCAGCAGGCCCGGCTGCGACCCAGTAAAAAAACCTTGTCTAGAAGGTTTTACCTATCTGCACTCTGGATTTTACCTATCTGCCACATCACAAAAGAATGACAAATACGAAATCCATTCTTCAGGGATTTCAAGCGAGTGGTGGACTAAATTAAGATCCTTCTTAAAAGATCCTAAATTCACAGGTATTTTGTGCTTTACGTCGAGTCATCTTCCTCACGGGCTTCCGCAAAGCTAAGAAGCCTTCACGTCGGCTGACATGGATAGGCAGCCTCTTTTTAAAAGTATAAATTGTTTTCTTCACATAACATTGAAGTAAGTTTTAACACCTTTCAGGTAGATACTTTAAGTTGGCTACATTTTGAACATTCCAGAAAATATTCGTCTTTGAAATCCTCCCTATGTGGTGACCAGTCTGACTAAGAGTCATGAAGTGAGGTCTGTCCGATGGTCTTCCTTGCTTTGACCCACTGACCAGGCCCCTCGCTCGAGGCCAGTGGGCCCAGGGTGGGCCCAGGGCTTCGCCTCGTGAGTCACGTGGCAGGTGCGGTGTCTGGCCCCGGCGCCCGCCTCTGCCCGCTCCTTGCCCGCCTCCCAGGCGCCGGTTCCTGGAACGAGCCGGTGAGCAGGAGTTTCCTTGTTTGACGGGCAGTGGAGTGACCGTGTGTGCAGAGCGGGCCGGGCCTGAGGGACGCACTCGGGTAGCAACTTTGATTTCAGATGAAGCTGTTCACTGCTTCAACGTGCTGGGCAGGCCGGGAGCGCTCTGTGAGACGCATCGGGCCGTGGGGGGCTGCGGGAAAGGGCTTGCTGCCGGGGTCCCCTGCGGGGGGTCCTGGCGGCCGCGTCGGGGTGGCAGCAGCGGCCTCCCTCGACGAGCCTGCTCACCGCCGCGTCCTCCTGCCCGGCGGCGTCGCTGGAGCTCGGCCTCCTCCCGCGCAGCCCTTGAAGCAGGTGTGCGTTTGCCGTCTCCAGCACTTCTCCGCTGAGTCCCCTCGGAAGCACTTGATCTGCATTTAGAGTTCGTGAAAGTCGCAGTGCAGGAGACCCCGGGCCACCCGCAGACCCCCGCGCAGGCACTTCAGTTTTTAAAGGTTCCTGCTGCTAGTGAAAATACAGTGAGAACTCAGTTCCCCGGGACCCAGCCAGCTTGGAGGGCCCCAGGCCAGCCGGGCAGGTGGGAGGCCAGGCCAGGCGGCCACCCAGCCCCCCCGGGGCCCGGGCCGCCTCTCGGGTCAGAGCTAGGTTTGTCTGCCACCCCGTCCATCCGGAACAGCCTGGGGCCAGAGCCCGGTCACTGCGTCCCTGGCGCCGGGTCGGCCGGGGGCGCCCCATGGCGGATGGTGGACGTGCGCTGAGCCCTGTCCTCGGCTCTCCCGTCCTCCTCCGGCCTGACCCCTCGCCTCGGCTGAACATGAGGTTTCTGTGGACGAGGTTATCGCAGTCCTGATCTTGAGGTCACTGCACCCGTCTGGCGACATCCCCGGCTTATTACGTTCATCAGAAGGCAAGGGGAGCCGCAGCCTGGCTCCGCCCGCC